GTTGTGTTCACTTCTTAGTTGGATGATATAAAGTGTTAAAATATGGATTGTTGATACTGTTTGCAATGTGCTGCATTTCTCGTTTTATCCTTGTGTCCTAGGTGAATATGATCCTGCACTACTTCATACTTGATCAGGATACCATATTCTGATTAACTGCTGACAAACAACTATCATTTAAAACGGACGGTTAGTTACTAGATCTACCCAATGATATACTTCAGCTACAACAAAAAAAGGCCACTTTAAGTACTTTTGAGATAGCCGGTTATTTATTTTAGAAAAGAACTACTTTATAAGTGAAATACTAAATCCTGATTGGCTAGTTCAGCAGTTGCTAAAGTAGCCTGTTAACTGGCTCAAAATGACCAATCACAGTTGTGCATTTTATGAAAAACCAATTTCCTAGGTGAAATATCTCAGCATTTGTTGGTGTGGCCTTTAAAGTCACTCAATATTTCCGTATACAAAGTGAACAATACAATCAGTCACAGTAATCTTCTTCAACGCCTCCAACTACCTAACATCAGTCAAAGTGCACAGTTATACCGTATTTCTTTGTTTAGTGATCATGTTGCAAGCATAAAGCGGTTACTCTCCAGTGATTATTCAATGAACAATAAGAGTGAGTGCATGTCGAATTCATTACCTTGTTACATCACACAAACGTATAGCTAACGTTGCATCTTCACTATGTCTGAGATACGAATTTGATTGGTAAGCAGAGTTATGCATGAAGATTTGGATCCAGCAGGTGATCTCAACACACCTATTGATTAATTTCTACCTCAGTACACGTGCGTGTGAAATTACTTGAAGAAACGGAGATTTCAATTTTTCTTAAAGTAGTATTTTCGATACTTCCTGTTTACAATCACATGGATTGGTGTGCACCAGAAGTGATAGGAAGGAATGACTTATCATATGGCTTTGCAAGCACTTCTTAAAACGATAGGCAAAAACTAACTTACAGTAGACTAGATCTTGCAGATAAATTTGATCTCACTTTTTCCCTGGGCACCTTTGATCTTTAGGCATGGGTGATAGAAATTATTTCCTCTATCCACAAATCTCTTTTTCTCCCTGACACTTTGAAACAAGATTTATGCAAAACCTTAAGAAAAGCAACTATCTCTTGAAGATTTAAAGCGAACCTATTCAGCATTAGATTAGAGTCAGAGACAGTACCCTAGGGTTACTCAAACTATGGCTGATTGCTGGCTAGTAGCAGATGTGATATAACTCAGTCGTCAGTATCCTCTATCGTTCATGCCTGCAGGAAAGCTACTGTGACCCGGGACTGGGTGTTGCAGTGCATTCCATTTGATATCAGATAGTTTGATGGACTCTAAAGGAGTTTAATAAACTGTCATCAACCTTTAGTTAATGTAGGTCATAATAAAAATTATAGCTGACTATGAAGGTTTTGATAATACCGCAGAGATCACTTTTAAACATATGACACGACATAAGTCAGGTGGATACATTACCAATTGACCATTATGATTAAATTCAATGATTCTTATTCTTTGGTTTCCACACGCACTTAGAAGTCTAAAACTAGAATGGAACAGTTGTTCACTGCTGATGTTGTTTTATGATGCGAAAGGACTGATACATAGCGACAAAAGGCAGCCAATAGGGGAGTTGTTTTCAACTCAGGTGGTGATCTATACATGCGCTGACATGAGAACCTGATTGGAGAAGTTCGATCTCATACAAGAAATCGGATTGGTTCATTTATGGCTTCACTTTCTGAGAGTTGTGTAAATACATATATGTCATGTATTTGCCTGATAAAAGTTATCGCTGTTCTTGCAGTCACAGGCCGTCTTTGTCTTCTGATTTCTCGGCGGCTCAGTGAAGCAGAAGGTACTGAGGGAGGTGAGTCGTAAAGGTATTCGGTTGAGATGTCTATTGAGTCTCAGGATTTATTATACCCACGCGAGCAACCCCACCACTCGGTCACAACAAGGATTCCTTCGGATGAGTCAATTCTTCATAAACTATCTAAAATGACATGATTTTTGTTGATTAAAAGTTCCTTTTCAGAGTCATTAGCCTAATTTAATCGATCGTCATATCAGTTGATTGGCAAAATGTTAACTATAAAGTGGGGGGGAAGAAGTTGATTCTTATTCATGGTCAGTTTTAAAATTGATCTCATACTACTTCAGTTCAACTTTATTTGCATACCAGTCAACCTGGTCAACTTACTTCTAACATATCTGTTTGTGAAATAAAATTCCATTGATTTTAGTTACCTTTATCTGATTACACTGGAACCACTGGGTGACAAGATAGGACTTGATATGTATGTGTTTCGCCTACATTGACTAACTTATGAATAGTTACAGTGAAGTGGGTTTTCTTTCCACTTCAGCTGGTAAATTCTCTATCTTGTTATAGTATGTGAAATAGAAAGGTATAAACCTCTTTCTAGATCTCAATAAACTGTATTGTCTTTATGTCCGTTCCGTTGTTGAACGGATTGCACACATTAACCTCGACTTCCGTCGGTCTGTGAAATGGTTTCATATAGATTTATGAATCTTACTGCATTGTATAATGTGATTTGGTGTGAAAAATAAAGAAAATAACCCGTTGTGTGCAAAAACGTCAGTTTTTCATCACCTTACACTTATTCAACTTTTTCAAACACATGTCTTAGACTTTGCTTAAACTCCGCTTTATACTAAGTGATGATTAAAAGTGAAATGAAAGTTTGAACCGCGGCCGGATTCTAGCCGGCAACCACAAGGTTTCAGGCCAGATGCTCTCAGTAGCTCTCGTAGATCACCTGGTAGAATATCGGGCCGAAAACTTGGTGGCTGATGGTTCGAATCCCGCTGAGGTCCAGAGTTTTCATTTTACTTTCAACCATCACCCAGTACAAATGCTAGTCTGCCAGACTACAGCAATCTCAGATGGTTAAGATAATAAAATTCGATTATCGATACTTGTCTTTAGCATTACGCACCCTATATTTTTTTAAGTTTTCACCTGCAATGATTTTTTTATACATATTTATATATACTGTACCATATTATATTATAAACCAGTACTCCATTTAATGATAGCCTGTTTTTAGGCTTAGATACAACATTAACAGAAAGATGCTAAGAGTCTACTTACTTCACATGCAAATGAAAAATATACAAACAAACTAACGGTGTTCTTATGCATTCACCTGCTTCACCCATAACAGCTAATCTACTTATGAATAAATTCGAAGAAAGTGTCTTCAATTGCCTCATTAAGTGGAAACTTTCTATCAGACATATTGATGACACATTCCTTAGTCTAAAACGTGACTTATAACAGGCATTCTTGGATCAGACGAACTCTGGATCACTTAGTATCAAGTTCAGCACAGAAAAACAAACCAATAATGATCAACTGCCTTTCACTCATTGTCTTGTTCTCCTGGAAACCAAAGCATTCGAACAAACACATAGATTTCAACTCATCACATGTAACTAGTGATGAGATTTCTGTTGCCTCCAGTCTTTCAAGGGAGCACACGCTCTAATAACTCATGGAAATGAAAGAGTTAAGGAGTTAAAGTATGTGAATATACAGAGTAATATTAAACTAGGTGGTGAAAGTACTCGTAAATCATGGACCTCAACATTAGTTATCCCTTACACATCACACATATCGCATGTAATTAGGACAGTGCTCAATAAATACACTCACCATTTGAGTGTTACAAAGAACATCAAACACATTCCAGAACACCTTAGTCCACTTGAGAGAAGAGATATCTTTGGATTCACAATCTAATTGTATTTATAAAATAAGATGCTCAGACTACGATGTAGTGTACAACATATGACAAACTTCCCATGAAATGAAAATTAGGCGAAATGAACACTGAAGAGCTTTCATCCGACACCCTAGAAATCTGGTCGAATTGAGGAAACACGAAAACACATCACACACACTCTAATTTCAGGTCACATGATGGATTCAGTCAGACAATATCGAAATTATTCAGAAATGCTTTAGAGATTATAAAGAACATATCATGGTAGAATGGTTTCACATTAAGCGGAATGGAATTTGTCTGAGTAGGAATGAGGGAGTGAAATGTTGTTCCACCTGATCTCAACTCACCTCCACCTCCACATACTGACTGACATGACCAACATACATCAAGGTGATAAGAACTATCAACACATGTGGATTTACAAATCTCAATCTGTAATTCATACAATCTTCACATACAATACACTACATATGGATATCATGTTTGTTGATGCAGAAGAAGACATATCAAGTTATCATATATAAGCTTGAGAAATATGAATACCAAAATAGTGAATATCACTTACTTAATATTAAACATGGATAGTTGCTAGCAGTGGAATCTAGGACACGCGTTTCGTCCTATTTGTAACTCGTCAGCGGGATGTATCTGCCTCCCAGTGAATGGTGATTTTCCCACCAGGACTAGAACTCGGGACCGATCGCTTCACACTCCAGAGCGTTATTCACTAGATCATGAAGCCACCATAGTCGCTTCTTGTGTGATGCTGTTTGTTTTAATGTTTTGGCTTAAAATTTTTCAAATCACCAAATCTCAACCTGGTCTGGATATCTATAAATTGATTGCTTATATGTCTACAGTGTCATGATGTTTCCATCGTTCTTAACACTATAGAAGTGATTATTATTACTACTATCTTTATTATCTGGATATTTGGTGTTCGCATACTTCATTTCCTTCTTACCACAACCTGAAGAACTCACCATGGTTAGTTTAACGTTTTATATACGAGAAAACTTATGTATATTATAGTAAAAGTTGATAAAAGCTAACTGAAACCAATACTATTCTCTTTTATTTACCTTTTTCCTAAAGTCACAGTTAAGTTTCTATCAATCTAAATAACGATAGGTGCATACTACTCAATATCAGGGGACTAGTAGTATCTATTCCCCTCAAAGAAAATAATATCTGAGGTGATTTAAATAACACAAATATCTCAACTTACTGTATAAGTTGTATCCAATTTTAATTTTTCATCATTAACAATCATCCAAGCTGGATAACAAATTATCCTATTCAACTCTTCAATATTATCATCACTTTGATTTCGACTACTATTTCTAGTTATCGTATTTGTGGATGGTTTCGGGGTTGTATTACTTGATGTAAATCCTTTGAGAATACTGTATTTCACAGAAGTGATATTAGACATTGATGTTTGATGTATCACAGTTTTAAGTATTAAAGGCATAGACTCATATAATCCAGTTTGTTTAAATTGATTCAAAACTTTTTTCATTGTTGGTTGCATTGTCATTGATGTTGCTGATGTTGTTGTTGTTGTTGTTGACATTTTCTCTGAAACTGATGCTTTCTGCTTAAAACGATGAAATGAGGGTGTTGATGGTGGTCGTGGTATTGGTGGTGGTGATGATGATGAAGCATTGGACATACAACTAACATGTGAAGATGATGAACAACTATACTGTTCAATAACATCGATTACTGTTGCCTCCGGTTCGTTAGTTTGATCACTCGACTTCCGTTTAGGTGCCCATAAACTGATTGAAGATAAATTTATCATAGACTTGGAAATAGGTCTATTTGATTTGTTTACTTGGAGGACATTGATATCTTCAGAAGTGTCCGAGTTGACAAATGCATTTTCTTCTTCACCAACATAAGCTCCAATACCCAAGTTACCTAGAAAGGATTGCACTTCCTGTTGTGGTTGTTGTCGTTGTTGTAGTGGTGAGGCAGGAGGTCCTTGGCGATTATGTTGATGACTAGTATTCTCCGATTTCAACCCATCCAATGTGATAGTCGTAGTAGCACTTATACTTGTCATTTTTAATAGACGTAACCATCTTGGTATCTTTCTGCCAGAATTTGTATTCTCACCTGTCGACTGGGTTCCAGACTGATCTGGTACACACTGAGTAATATCTCCAGTGCTCTGATTTCTTCGAGCTCTTTTCTTTAGATTACTTCTGTGTTGAGCTCCTTTACCTCTAAATATCCTCGATCGCTTTGATGTACCTGTTTCTTCTGATGGATTCGACATGTGTGAACAATCAATAGTTCTTTATCTCACCACTCTATTATTGAACAAGTGTTTAACATTCACCGTGTTTAGATGTAAAATATCCTCCGAGTAATTAGCATATATAGCTAATTCAAACTTTCAAAAACAATCAACCTTTACTCCGTTTACGATCATAGTCTAAATGATTCAAATGTGAAACAATAAAACTGTGAATTATTTATCTTCAGCATTAACCAATGAAATGTCATGCTCATAAATACATACATATAGGTTGTTTCCGCGCTTTTCTATGTGTACACTCACTCTGCTCAGGCATTTAAAATATCTGTAAATTTATGTGCATTAAAGACAATATACGTCATATACCAACATGCAATAATATGATTGTGCATGTATGTATGTTTGTGTGTCTAACCACGACCTATCCTACCTTGGAACAACATATTATTGTTATAGTATAGACAGTAATCTATACACACATTTACACAACTTTTCAGCATAGATCGATACTATTGACACACAACACTTACGTATACAATTGAGGGTTGATCATCAGGATATCACTGAAAAGAGAAATTCTTTTGATAAGAAAAATGACTGACTTTTTCGACAATCAACAAACAATTTGTATTTCTTTTAAGTAGATAAGTATTTATGAGAGAAAAATGACTGTATATATCAGTTATAACAATGTATCAGTATTCTCTAGTTCTGTTAAGCAATAAGTTAAATATTGTGAAATTGAATTGAACTTATTCATTTGAATTCAAGGTTGTATATTCTAGTGAAATGTCGGATAGTCACTGTTGTGGAATTCTACTAACTAATTTCATGCATGTATGCATATATTGAGTCATTTACGTTGCTTACTTTCAAAATGTATCACTTAGGGATAGAAACGGCAGCGATAATTCATCCTTAAGACAAACAGAAACATGATTGGTCAGTTGATAACCAATCAGATTGTCACCAAATGTTTATATTAATCTTTTCTTTTGATAAATGCTATGGTTACTGTAAAGCTGAGCAATGGTAAACTACTTTTAGTTGTCTATGCTGTATAGATATCTCTCCTCGAAGCTATTGAGATCATGTTTAGATAGCTGAAATGGGGTGATTTTAAAAGCCGCTCTAAGTAAATACAGATACTCTGGTTTGGTCATTTGCTAATCGTTTTCACACTGTATCTCAGTCGATGTTATTGAATTTCTTTGAGATGAAATAAGCAGTCGGTTTTTCTGAAAACCTATGCATGTATATCTCTATGCCTTAAACAACTGTAAAAGTTTCTACTAAATTCATTCAAGGAAGAAATATCCCGTTGCTAGGCTACTACATTATGTTAAAATGGAGAGTTTAAAGACCATTCTAACAACTACTGTAGTAACCCAATTATGGTTCCGTATTTTATTTAAAAAAACTACCTTCCCAGCCAAAATGCTGAAGCCCGATTGTTTATTTTTAAAAGTTACCACCCCAACAACAACTAAATGGATCGATTGGACTTCTGTATTTTATGAAAATCTATCTTTCTAGCTGAAATGAAGAAACCTTATTGGTTTCTACTGCAGTAGCTAAGATGACCTTTAGAGTCAGCCTAGGTTTTACGAGTGCCTTTAAAGGACACCCAGGCAACAACTGAGATAACCAATTAGATTTTTCTATTTTATCAAATTTCCCTTTCTAGACGAAATGAAGAAAATTAATCAATTATTTCCATCTTTGCTATGCTGGCCTTTAAAGTCACTCTGATCAACAATGCTTGTCGCTCACTTGTTTGGAGAATATCTAATGTTCATGTTGAGAGTGGTTAAGCAATTATTTGAGAAAGAGGAAAGATAAATAGAACAGTGTTTGGATGGATGCAATAGATACAATTTCTCATTATCATTAATTATGTTTTTTGAGATGAAGCCAGATGCAAATGAAAATAATTTGGAGGAATAAGAATAACAAATAACAGCATCTAAGCTAGAATATCATAAAGTTATGTTGATAACAACCCGAAGCATACACTATCCAACTGTATGCGAAGATGAGGTAATCAAGTAAATAATAAGAAACATGAGAACGATACAAGTGCAATGAGATACTTGAACTGAATACGAATAGTGACTGTTCCCCCACAGTAGTTTAGTGCTTCATCGAGCCACGGAAATATATGCAGATAAAGAGTGGCCTGTGACTGAGGAAGATACCTTAATCGGCAAAAATGCATCATTTATATACGATTTACATGTACATTTAAAACCACAAGGTCAAAAGTTAAATAACGTATGTTGATTGGTCAATTGCAGGATAGATTGTCTAATAAGATTATTCCGGCGACTGCTGAATTAACCAATCAGGTTCCGGTATTCCGGCTAGAAAAGTATTCTTTTTAGTAAAATATGGAACTCTAGTTGGTTATTACAGCAGATGTCGGAGTGGCCATTAAAGTCGCCCCGTTTTTCCTGACAGCATTAAGAAAGAAAACAATAGTTAGAACATTAAAATGTTCATCTTCGCGGCTGATAACTCAAAATGTTGATTTCTATTTAGGCCATTTCCTATACCTTGGAGGATTCAAAATTAGATCTTAAGAAATAATTTTGTCATTTGTAATTTTCATTATCAAAGTATTTTTCATCATGGTTTGATATCGGGTGAGGGACTATTGTCAACCTGGGAACAGTTGACAGCTATTTAGTATGCACTGCTGAAAAGTCCTAAACTAGGACGAAACAGATGTGTGATATTCCCAAGTTCGCAAGCGTTCTCCAACTTATGTCAATCCATGTTGAAAACTACCATAGAATCAACGTGTTCCTACAGACTATCAGTCTTGGCTATTTTTTATTGATAACAAGGTTGAGAATAAATCTTTAAAAGGCTTCATTTGACAATTATGTTAGACGTCCTCCATGTAAAATAAGAAATATTTACAGGTTGCTGGAAGTATCGCAATTTCAGCCGAAACAATAATGAAACAGACCCTTAGAACACTTTCTGTAATTATTTCTTGTTTTCTCACCATAAGCGGTTAATGTCTTCAGTTTTCAGTGGTATAGACTACACTACAAGCTCAGTCCCAGCAAGAACTGTTTAAAGTCATCGGACACTTTCGGCTGAACCAAATGCATTGAGATGCCATATTATTGTACGTCGAATGTAACTCCGTGTGTCGAGCATGGTACTAACAACTATCATTATGGTCAGAGATATTAACTACTTCTGGAGACAATTAAACTAATAAATGGACCGTAACTAAAGTTAACATTCACGATAGTGTATTGATTAGTCACGGGAGTGCAACCAATTTCATGTTGTCTAGTCCTGAGTGCAGACCGAATTCTATCGATCATATATACAATGTGGCAACCAAGCTAGGAAGCTCAGCAATGCGGTGCACATTAGTAGATGTTAGTTGGTTGGAGGCAACCAGCAGGAAGCCTGGACTTAGGTCTGGTGGTTTTCGGTACTCGTCAGCAAGATGTATCTGCAACCTCAACGGAACTGGTGTCCCACCTGAGATTCGAACCCACACCACCCAGTGTTATAGCCAGCGACTTCACTACTGAACTATTCGGGCCACGACTGACCTCCTGTAGGACTGGCTTACATGTATTGATTGGTCACAGGAGTGCAACCAATTTCACGTTGTCGAGTCCTGAGTGTAGACCGAATTCTATCGATCGGAACTAGACAACATGAAACTGGTTGCACTCCCGTGACCAATCAGTACATGTAAGCCAGTCCTACAGGAGGTCAATCGTGACCCGAATAGTTCAGTGGTGATGATGCAGGTTCGAATCTCAGGTGGGACACCAGTTCCGTTGAGGTTGCAGATACATCTTGCTGACGAGTACCGAAAATCACCAAACCTAAGTCCAGGGCTTCCTGCTGATTGCCTCCAACCAACTAACTTTTGCAATACTGGTTTTAATGTTACTAAGAAGTATAGGACCACCGTTTAGAACTTGTACTCATTATACTGTGTCAATCATGGTTCATTGTATCTGGTTGCCATGTTTGGCAAACACTTCATGCTAATTGTAACTGCATCCAGCCAATCTGAGCATCAGCATATGAAAGGCCATGATTGTATTTCTGTTTCCTTTCCACTAGAAATCACTTACATGGATTAAACAACCTTGAGTGGAGACACGTGAACTAATAAGATTCAACGCAGCGTGCGTGTTTATTAATATAAGTGAAAAACTTGGGCACTGTGGTAGAATGTAGTTCCATATTAGATTTGTTTATTTGATATAAAGCGCACAGTGATACAGTATTATTACTTGATTACGTTTCGAGCATAAATTACTGCTCATAATCATATCAATGTAATCACACTTCTTTCGACATCTGATTTTATAGTCCTGTCACCTGATCTCTCTTTGTTTTTTTGTTTTTTGATTGGTAGTAAAGTTTTTCATATCTCTGGTATAGGTGTTGCGTCATTCCTATTACATGTGTTGGGTGTGAATTCGATGAACAAAGATTCAGTAATTAATCTCTCTCTCCACCTAGCTATATTAGACTTAAGTACAGTGGTTTTGTCCCATCCTATTGTGTGGTTGTGTGTTAATGAATGTAATGCAATGGCTGAGTGTTTTTCTAGGTTATTGATCTTATTGGGGTCTGTCGTTCTATGTTTAGCTAAATTCCTATGTTCTGTTAATCTAACTGACCCCGACCGGCTAGTTTGACTGACCTATGTATTTGACTTCACAGTCATTACATGGAATTTGGTAGATTATATTATTTTGCTTATTATTTTGCCATTGCATTACATTCATTAACACACAACCACACAATAGGATGGGACAAAACCACTGTACTTAAGTCTAATATAGCTAGGTGGAGAGAGAGATTAATTACTGAATCTTTGTTCATCGAATTCACACCCAACACATGTAATAGGAATGACGCAACACCTATACCAGAGATATGGAAAACTTTACTACCAATCAAAAAACAAAAAAACAAAGAGAGATCAGGTGACAGGACTATAAAATCAGATGTCGAAAGAAGTG